AAAAACCTCCTACAGAACAAGAATTGAGTAGAAGGGACTCAACATAGTAAGTTAAAGGGCAAGTGATCCGGTCATGCCTCTAACCCCCCCCCCCCCCCAGGCCTCTCCTATTTCAGCAGAGAGGGGCTATAGAGCTGGGTGATGCCTGCAGTCGTATGACAAAAAGGTCACCCCCTCTAAAATTATCCCCAGCAGGAAGAAGAGGAATGGAAAGTCAGTGTTAGTGCATGTTGAACTGTCTGAAATGTGAACCAAAATGAAATGCAAACTTAAAACTGCACCTTCAGATACAATAAAAAAAATGCGTATATTTATAATTCCTGTGATGTGTATAGAGTTATGGTGACTCTTTAGGAGACCAATGTTTAAAATGGTTTAGATACTACAAAAGGTCATAAACTGGGGATAAAGTCCCAGGAAAGGTCAAAGGAATTCTCACATGGCACATTTAGGATTTGTATAGTTTTCAGCTTCAGAATGCATAGGAGGTCCTATAGCACACAGACAGCAGCAAACTAAACATGAGCGATACAGTGATAGGGAGGAAATGTCTTTCACTTTAAGGGAAAAGCCTTGGAAATTGAAAGAATGTTTGCATACTAATGAGTACCAGAGCTAAGCAGTGGGTTAAGCCCTGTTATCATTGCAGAGATTCATATGGAAACTAATCATCTTTACATAAGATAGTAACATTAAAATACACTGCCCGTCCAAAAAAAAAGTCGCCATTTGAATTTTTTGTTGGGCCGCCTTTAGCTTTGATTATGGCGCATTTTTTCCACAAGCTTATGCAACATCTCATCCTTTATTTTCATCCAGATTTGCATTCATTTCTCACCAAGATCACCAACAAGTGAGTTGAACCACTCCTTAAAGCCTCCTTCATCACATCCCAGAGACCTTCAATGAGGTTACGGTCACAACTCTGTGGTGACCAAGTCACACGTGAAAATGATTCCTCATGCTCCCTGAACCACTCTTTGACAATTTGAACCCATTGAATCTTGGCATTCTTGTCCTGGAATATGCCCATGCCAACAGGGAAGAAAAAATCCATTTATGATGGATGGAGGTGTAACCTGGCCATTCAGTAGATTCAGGTACTCAGCTGACTTCACTTTATTGCTGCATAATGTTGCAGGACTGTAATAATGATCTAGTCATTGGCTTTTAAGTATTTGCTGATATAAATTTGAATGGCGACTTTTTTTTTGGACGGCCAGTGTAGAACTGCAGGTATGACTGCTTCTCTAAAGACACTTTACAGTTGGAATAGTCTATGATGATTTAATCTAATTCAAAACAAACAATCATAATTTCAGGGGAATTTTCATCTTTCCATAAAAGTAAGATTCCAGGATGGTTCTAAGGACTTCTCAGTCTAAGGGATATGCACAGATCTCTGCCCCTGTGCCTAATATATCAGCTGTGACCCGTCTGCCACACTCTCCCAGGCCATTGACACCTGCTCGGCCCCCCTCTACTTACCCTGCGCGTCCCCGCCGGAGGTCAGCACGGCGATGGCCCGTCCGATGCCCATTTTAGTTGGGTCCACACGGACAGTGCCCAACATTGTCGCCATCTCGTCTCCAGGAAGTGCACAGAAATCGACAGGAGAGGGAAAAGCAGGGAACGGGAAGCAGCCTTGGGTTATATCAGTGCCAGGAGGTTTCAGGTCAGAACTCTTGCCTGTTGGAACAGACCCCTGTATGGGCCATCAGCTAATCGGATACCACCCAGTTGCTCTTCTTATGCTTCAGGGGGCACAAACACACCTCCCACCCTGAGCTAAATATAACATTAATTTACAGTCAGACCCCTCCCACATTCCACTATGGAAGCCTGTTAGAGACAGCCAGGAAAAGAGCTTTAAAATTAATTATGAGACCACACATAAGACCGCCACAGCTTATATTTGAAAGTGTCACTTTGAAGCTAAGTACCAAAATTAATAAATTAGCATGAATGACATGCAATATTAAAAACTCCAGGCCACCAGTCCCAGCCCCTGGAACCCTGACCAGTAAAAGCAGATGTATGTCATTCATTAGATCAGAAAATGTTAGATGGATTGTTAACTTGTTCATCATCCACATTCATAGTTTCAGTGACTAGTATAAGTCCATTAGCATAAAGACCATTGAACAGTGTATTTTAGTCTGTAGTGGATGAAATGGGTGGGCTTGCCGTTGATTTTGCTCACAGTCAGATTCACTGGATTCTCCACTGGGGAGGATTTCAGATATGGAGCTGACATCAATGGCTAGTGAATGATGGCATCACAATAACGAAGGCTGGCTGCTGAGGCTGGGACAGGCTGTCCGTAAGACTTGCCTCTTCTCACCCATTTTTGGGGACAACCCTGTAAAACCAGCCACCTTCCACTTTTGGCGTTTGGCTAAACTATGCAAGGAAACCCTGGGATCTGTGTATCAGAACACAGCTTCCGGACATTTCAATGCACATTTCAAACCATGTGACATAACAGTCGCGTAACTGATGGCCAGATTGGGTGCGGGGGGCCGTCAGGTGTCATCCATCATAATTACTACATTTCCAAACTCCCCAAAACCATCAGCCACAACAAGGAGACACAACATGCACATTTCATTCTAACTTAGCAGTTCTTTCAGAGCTGTGGCTAAGCTTTATAATTCTTTGAGAACCTGTTGAATACAAATAGTTCATGCGCATATACAGTGGCTTCAAATATTCAACCCCCTTGAAAGTCATGATGATTGTCTAGACCAGGAGTCACAACCTGTGGCTCTTCTCAGAATGATAGCCGCATTCACATTTTTATGTCAACATAATTATGATAAATAATTTATCTTTACGAAAGTATTATATATGGGTTAATATTATTTTTCCATTTAGATATTTCTTTAGCTATATATGAATGAGGCAGTCCGCTTCTTAACTGCATAATTTACATCTTCCTCAAAATCATTCACAAAAACGAGATTACTTCTCTGATTAAATGGTATGCTTTCTGGAGTTTTCTAAAGCACCTGAGATTGGATGTACGCTTCAACATTTATTGGGATTCCTAATTCTTTCATATACTTTTTGTAGTAAATCGTCACCACGCCTTCCCAGACTCTCGTAAAAATTATTATATTTTCTCCGATTTACATATAATAGCCAGCTGAGTTGTGACTACATTTGCACTGTTCGTCAACACAGCAGTAGTGAAGGCGAGTGAAGGGCAGACTACTGCAGAGCCGAACGAAAGAAGGGATGAGAGTGAAGACTATCTCTACAGAACTGAACAATGTTGTAATATTAGTAACCTTTGCGCTGTTACACGTCTGAGTGATTTAAAACTGAGTTGCCCCCTGAAACTGGTTTTCTTTATTTGAATTTGAAGTACTTGAATTTGAACTTTTGTTTTTGTGTTAAATGCATATGTGCCCCTATCACATTAAAAAATCGTATCTCAAATCCCCTTCTCTAACCATTGCGGCTCATTGTAAATCTTGGTTCAGATATTTAGGAAAAAATGGCTCTTTGCTTTAAAAAGGTTGCCGACCCCTGGTCTAGACTCTGTAGAGCAGGTGTCTCCAACTCCGGTCCTGGAGAGCTACTATCCAGTAAGTTTTCTATCCTACCTGGCTTCTGATGAGCCACACCTGCTCCTGGTATTTACCTGAGAGCAGGTGTGGCTCATTAGAAGCCGGGTATGATAGAAAACCTACTGCTTAGTAGCTCACCAGGACCAGAGTTGGAGACCCCTGCTCTAGAGTATAAAATATATTGTAATAACTGACAGATCAAGGCATCGCGGCAGTGGCAAATGACGAGGAGGCTTGATAGCAGAGGAGGAAGAGACTCTTTTATTACAGTTCTGAACAGGACTAACATATGAACTGCAAAAGCACTGGAACCAAACATGCTAGGGAAACACAGGGAGGTCCGATGCTGAACGGTGAAGCTCACACATGGTGGGTAATTTATGCAACACTAAAGACATGTGAGGGTGGGACAGGGTTCACACAGGCAAACACATGCACGACAACAGGGAAATACAACATGAACGTTTACAATAAGACATGCATACAAGGGGTTATTTACAATGGTCCACGAGGAATGCCGAGATATGCAAATCCCGCCGGCACTACAACATATACTCAATTTTCTCAAACAACATTTATGTTGAAAACTACTAACATTAAAAAAATAAAAATAAAAATATGATATGTGCTGTTTGCATAGGTTTTCAACCCCCGTGCTTTGGAAGCTCCAGGTTTATACAAATGACTAATCGCAAATGACGTGAAGTGTGCATTAGATGTGCTCTGTGGCTGTTTCCCAGTGTTGCAATGTATTGGTTCTCCGCCTCGCGTTCAGTTTTATCAGTGTTGTGTTTGACCCCTCATGATCTCTTTATTTTGTGGTTTGGCCCTTTGGATCCTGTCTTTCTTTAGTGAAACCTTTTGTCCATTCCATGGATTGTTATACTTTCCCCACTTGCACCAAGCCCCACCGTAACACTGTGGCACTATTTGATAACTGTGGGGAATAGAATGGGGAAGAATCACTCCTGAACAATGTGTAAAACTGTTACATACTTACCCCAAAAGAATTAAGGCTGCTATTGCAGTAAAAAGAGTTCTCAACAAAAAATTAATGTGTAGGGGTTGAATACTTATACACGCACTAAATTCTGAGTTTTTCCTTCAGTTAAATATCTACAGAAAAAGGTTCATTTTTACTCTGGAAATGTACTGTTACAGTATATGAGTTCACAACAAAAATACAAAATGCACAAATGTGTGTACAAATATTTTGACATGCAGAAAATTACTATGACTTTCAAAAGGGCTGAATACTTTTGCAAGCCCCTGTATTTTAAAACCATTTACACATAAAATCACAATGTTCATATCCTTCTGTAATTTTATATTTTATATAAAGTACGATGATAAGTATTGATCAGCACAGATGACCTGCCTCAACACCCTGCCACACATCAAAGTGCTAAGTCATCATAGTAGAAGCACAGATACACCCAAATATACACTGTGTCCATTAAAACACAGACCTGTCACAGAGCCTGGGGATTCAACTGTCCTCCTGGAAAGCAGAACCACCACGGCCACCACCAGTCCAGTGGAGACCAGCAGGGTGCTTAATGGGACAAATGGCTCCCACATTGTCTCCTTGTCCAGGCTGCCATGTTCGAATGAACAGGTATTATTAGCCTTGATGTCACTCCTTCTGTCACTCTGCAGTCCCTATGACACCGAAGGCTGAAAAATCAGGGTCAGGATCATGCACAACTAGCTGGAGCCTGAATAGCAGACGCCATGTTGGGCTTGACTGCCCTTAGAGTAGGCAGCAGCAGTAAAAACTCCTTCCCCACTTGAAATCACTGTAGCCACTTCACATAATAATAAAACCAAAGAATACATTATTATATATTTTTAACTAGACCCACAGAAGATAGTGTGGCATGGCCACCCACAGAAGCTAGGCACCTTCGGGCATGTACATGCACCGACCTACTAACTTGCATGTGCACAGAGGGAGCAGAGTCAGTGCAGCACTGAGAAGTTCAGAGTAAGAGCTGTGAGTTTGGAATTTGCGCTGCGGCCATTTCGGTTTTGAAAGTTTGGAGAACGGTGCATTTGCATCTCTATGGTAGGGCATGCTGCTACTCAACTTGGAGTTGAGTTTGTTTTTTCCCTTTTGCTTTACCCAGGGGGCGCCCATTCCCCTCACAAATGTAAACTGCTCAGCCCAACCCTTCATATTACAAATTATTCTTAATAAGAAATCACCAAGTTTTACACACATCTTATGCTCATTAATTATATGACTGGTGCAAAGCCCACCGCTTTCTACTCCATTTTCAAAACCATTGTAAATGATAGCCTATACTTCCTGAGCCCAATTTCATGTGTATGGCACTGGAGTACAAAGATGGATATTGGCTGGAAAACTATCAGCGGATCGAAGAAACCGTCGGGGGTGTACAGTCATAAGTATTTGAACGTGTGCATTTCTAAAAGTGATCCGGCTGTAGTACGGATTTGTTGTAAGCAGCTCACAGCGTTTTGAGCGTGGTGGACACGTGATCAAGCGGCTACTAGGAGAGTAAAGTGGGTACTTTTGAGGGGCGGATGAGTTGTGCCTGTTGCCGGTGTTGATAAAGTCGGGTCCCTAATAGAGGCATGCAGAGTAATGTTTGCTCACTGGCACATGCGGCGATTTAATCTGTCGGACAGCGAAAAGGAATAAAGCGAAGGAATCTAGCTGACCTGGTAAAAACGGAGAAGTCGATGGAGACAGCCGACTGAGGAGTTTGGCGAAGGATTGGGAGGGGCCAGTGCTAATTGGACGGGGGGGGGGGGCAGCAGAGTCGGACAGGTTAAAAACAATTGAGAGCAGGGTGTGTGACGTCTGCAAGCGGTATATAGATGTGTCACCTACAAAAGGGCTCATTTCAGAAAGTGTATTCGCTTACGGCCATACCACCCTGAAAACGCTTGTGCGTTTCCGGGGGCGTGGCTGACAGCATTGCTAGCTGTGAGATTGAGGTGTGCGGTCGTTTCCTTTTTTTCTCTCGGCTCTGACGGTTTGGTTTCTTTTCCTGATTAGTTTCTTTAGAGTTGTGTTAGAGTGTTCTCGGTCTTTTCTTTTGTCCGTTTTCCCTCGCCCTAGTGGCGCGTCTGCGCCGGGGAGGGGGAGACTGACCACCTCTTCTTCAGTTCTTTCAGTTCCCCCCCGTTTTAGTTTGGGTTTTTTTTTTGTTTTGCCGGCCGGCTCCGGCTCGCTCCGGGGTCCTGGTCCAGGGCTCCCCACCCCTTACCTATCTTTCGTTTAGTGCACCTGTTTTTTTTTCCTTTCTTTTCCTTTTCCCCCGATATTTCCCTGATGGCTGTTTGTCAGCCCAGCGCGTCGCGTGCAGCCGAGGCTGCACGGGCGTCCTTGGACTTGGTAGAAGACACTGACCTAGACCACGCCGATATGGACGTGGGTCCGAGCCTGGAGCCGGCCGGTGGGGCTGGCCAGGTGCAGGCGGAGTGGGTGACGGTGGTGAAGAGCAAGAGGGCGGCTGCAGGTACGGCTGCTGCGGCAACACCGCAGCCGGGAGGCGGGGGCTGGCGGCGGCATCTCGCCTCCCGACAGCTACGCTGGGCGG